CCTGCAGTACCTCAGCCAGGGCGACGTGGTGTTCAAGAGCTCGGTGAAGGTGATGACCGTGAACTACAACACGGCAGGAGAGCTGAGCGAAGGCGCGAGGTGAGCGCGGGGCGCGGCGGGAGTGCGAGCCGTCCCTGCAAAGACGCCAGGGCTTGCGCGGGCCGCGCCCTCCACGGAGACAACGGGCCAGCCCTTGTGTGATTTTCTCTTTCCAGGAAGTTCGTGTTTTTCAACATCCCCCAGATCCAGTACAAGAACCCCTGGGTGCAGATCATGCTGTTCAGGAACATGACGCCCTCGCCCTTCCTCCGCTTCTACCTGGGTAGGTCCCGCCAGCCGCGGGGGCCGCAGCAGCCGCAGAGCAGTGGCTGGGTCGCAGCGGCAGCGTCGTCACCGCTGCCTTTGTGCTGTTCTCACTCGGCCCTGCCTCGGCTGCAGCGGGGAAAGAAGCTGCTTGATCGGAAAATAGCTTTAGCCGTTAGCCGCTCCCCTAAACTCACCCGCATGGAGATTTCGCTTTTCCACGTAAAACACTGTATTGCGCGTTAACCGCAGAAGGGAAGCAGATCCTTCATTCGTGTGCGTTTAAAGCCTCTGTAAACGGCAGGGGGAAGTGGTATAATTTGGTACATTATTACGAATTTTTGTTGACAGACAACGGAGAACAAGTTTTGGTTGACGTGGAAGATAAAACCAACAAAGAGATAACAGAGCACGTTAAAAAAATCCTGGGGAAAAGCAAGTAAGTAGCATGCAGTAAGCTAACGAATCATCTAGTATACATAATAAAAACTTTTCCCAGATCAAACTGACACGAACGAGGTAAAGTTCTCAAGGTAGGAACTGGAAATCCATCTTTCTAGGCCCAAGGGAGAGGAAGTATTGCAATTCAGACTTCTGATAGTAACAAACGGATCTCTTTTTCTAGAGAAATGCTTGAAAAAGAAGAAAGAGAAAAGAAAAAACTATCACATCCAGCAAACTTTGGGCCCAAGAAGTATAATCTGCGAGAATGCATGTGTGAGATTGAAGGCCAAGTTCCCTGCCCTGCTTTTGTACCATTGCCCAAAGAGATGAGGGGAAAATACAAAGCTGCTATGAAAAATGAGGCATGAGCCTCAAGATCTCAAGTCATGCAGCTGATTTTCCTCAGGGCTAGAAAATGAAGGAGAGACAAGAATTCAGTGAGAGACAAGAATTCAGTGAGAGACAAGAACCAACAGTTCCTGGGAACAGGAACAAGCAAGTTTATTCAATACAGACAACTGCCTTATAAGCCTTCTTACAGCTACAACTAGAATAAGTGAAAAATAAGTAAAAGTTAAAACTGGCACCAAAAAAAGCTGTGGTTCTACAAAGTATTGCAGTCAACACTGAAAAACAAAATTACTAGAGTCTTATTTCTTATTTATGCCTGCAGGTAACCAGTTATGGCAAAACCAAGATCATGTTTTCTTTGGGATAGAGAGGCTAGACTAAAAAGTTAAATCTTAGAAGCAGTGCAGAATTACATAATTTCTAGAAAGTGGTGCAAAAGTCCATACTGTACTAACCAAAGACAGCCAAATGTAATACAACTCCAGTCTCAACTGAATTTTCCTAATTTACATAGTTACTAATCAGAATCAGTTCAGAGTTTCATTTCCAGCAAGATACAACTTTTGTAGTTGATACTGCAGCTCTGAGAAGCACAGCTCAAGTCAGGAGCATCAGCAGGAAAGAATGGGAAAATTGGTATATGAAAGGTAGGTTTTACAGTTATCAAAAAAACTCCTTCTGAATCATCACAGCTTCTGCCTCACCAAACAATTACACCATACCTGTAATATGTATAAATGCGATAAACTGTACTCTCCTGTAGAGACCTTTATGTCAGGCTTGTATGTACAAGTCGCTGTAGAACTGTATTGCAGCATTTTTGAACTCTTGTTTGAATACAAAATTTCATACTGATTCAAGCATCCTGTACAAATTGTCAAGGACAAACATAACACAAAATAAACATGTTGTTTTATTTCATCTCTTTTTACAAAATTTTCATACCGAGTAGTGCATGCAATTGTAACAAAAGTCAATGCTAATTAGTTATTGAGCTTTATGCTTAAGCCGTCTTCATTCCCTTGTGCCTTGCAAGCCTCACAGCAGTCCATATACCAGCAAAAGTCTTCACTTTGCAGATGATTTTAGTACTAGCTGTCTAGTCTATCACATTTAACACTGACAAAGATCATGAGGTATGCTAGTGTTATTTGCTTGTAAAAATAATACATTACATATACAATAAGAATAGTTACTAGTGTATTAGCCAGAAAATATAAACAAGGCGGGATAGTTGCAACAAGGAAAAAAAGCACTTTTTAATGTGAAAGCTGAAGCCACTGAAACATTTTTTCACGCTGATACCTAAAAAAGCCTCAGGTTAGAGTGCAGGAAGCAATCCTGACTAGCAACCAAGTCTATCCTAAATAACTGCCTTATCCTATCTTGCTTAAATATTCCAGGGATTCTGTTTAGCTTTCAACAGTTTTTGGTACCTTCATGAATCTGATGCCAAGCACCTATGTTCTGTCAAGACCTTTCAGAATCCTCTGTTGTTCTTGGTGCAGAATAACACCTGGGGACTCAGCCAGCTCTAATAAAATATAAGAACTTCATGGTCTTAAGCCAACCTCTTCTGCACACCTTTCAACTCCAGATTCAGGCCACGTCAGACAGACGATCAGGTATCCCTGACTGGCTGGTCTGAGTTACTTCAAACCCCTACTAGTGGTATTAAGTGAGATATAGGTGGTTTGGTCTTTTTAAACAACAGTTCCACAAACCCCTACCTCCACATACAGCTAGGAACAAGAGTACCTGCTCTGTCTCTGTCTCTGGAGACAGAGCTACTTGTCTCCAAAATCTTAAGCAGTGCTGGGATTACAGCTATGGCAATATCAGAGACATACTTAAAAGATATATCCCATTACACAGAACTTCACACTTCTAAGCCCACTACAATTAGTGCTATACAGTGTGATCTGCCTGATTTTCCCCTATTTCAGCCTTAAACAAAGAAACCCTTTAAGATTAACTCACCACCACCACCACTGGCTGCAAACTGATGCCTGCTAATAGGCCTGTGCCTCTCAAAGATAAAAATCAAAGCAGTTCAGATTCCATCCTTTTCAAAAACCCTGCATTTGCCCAGCTGTTGGCCCTCCCACATCACAAGTACTAGCTGTCACCTGGCCATCCTCCAGGCCACAGGATCACAGATCTTCAATCTGAAGTTCCTTATTTAAAACAGGTATGCCTGATTCTCATAAAAACTGAGGGGAATCTAAAATGAGAGAGAATTGTCATTTGGCACTATTGCAGACACAGACTTAGTCTCCCAGCTTTCACAAAATTCCAGTGGCATCTCAGCTTTCCATGATAAACAAAATTTTTTGTTGCTTGGGTTAGGTGCTGGTTTTGGGTGCTACAAAAAAGTGTTCCAGACTCACAACAAACGTGACCATTCTGTGACCCAGAGGATTTAAAGGAATGTGTAGACTCCATAATGTAATTAGCAACTGGAGGTTCACCCTTTATATTACAGTTAGAAGTGGTGCTGGCCTCATCTCCTTTCCCTGAAAATGAGCAAATGCTTGCTCCCATGTGAGCAGGTCTGCACCCAGCATGACGCTATGACACCATGGTTTGCACTCAGAGCAAATGGGAAACCAGCAGTGATGAAAAGAAGCATCCAGATCTTACTTGAGCATCTTCATACAGACACTAAAAAGTCACTCATACAAAGATCAGTTAAAAAGTTCTTCTCAGTCTTAGGATCCCTTTTATGTATTAATTACCATTGCACAAACTTGATCTGTGAGCCTGTACATTCAGCACCCAGGAGAATCACAGCAGCTCTTTAACAGCACATTGCCAGAACACCATTAGTAGTTCAACTACCCTGGGTCAGGCGAGTGTAAGAAGTTTTAGAAAAGTTTTCATCTCTTTTTAGTCAAAGCCACACTTGAAAGGCCAACACTACAACAGAAAGCGGGAAAGAGGGCAAACCAACGTTCCAACCACTTCCACATCATAGCTCCATATTAGCACTTAACCCCTGGACAAAAATAAGCATTCCATAAGACCAGTTAGCAATAAAAGTGCTGTAAAAAGTTATTTTAAAATTTCTTACTCTAAGCTTTTGAGACCAGCAGCATTTCTCACTAATTCTTTCTTCAAGACTGTGTAGTAGTGGCAATGTCTAAATGAAAGTGCTTTAAAGTCAGGATTCTCCCAATTCCCTCGTGTCATCTGTACTCCTGTCTGTAAGTATCTGCTTTACCTTCCCATATTTAACAGCAGACTGATTTATTACACAGCCCTGTTGCTGCTTCAGCAGTTAGATTTCTCCTTCTGCTTTGCTAATGTGTACTTCAGTTCCTTTAAGTTCTCTGTCAGTACCTCCACCTCATCCAGTCGTCCACTGTGTTTGGCATCAAATATATAAGCTTTAATATTATCTATCTGTTGGAGAAGTAGCTCTTCCTCTATAGCCTCCTCTCCAGAGATCTCACTGCCATCCTCCACTTCAAAGGGATTGATAGAGGATCCCTCTTCAAATGGATTCCCTGGATTCCAACTGCTCCCAGGCTTTTCAAATGGATTTTCATCCTCTTCAAAGGGGTTTGAAGTACTGCCAGGTGCTCCATTACTTTGTTCATCCTCCTCCTCACTTTCAAATGGATTATACTCTTTTTTATCACTTTGCTGAGCAGTGTTAGAGAAAGAAACCACTGGAGATACGTCTTTGGCAAATGGGTTACTGGGATCTTCCTCCACCTGAGGGGTATCTGCTTCATCCTCAAAGGGGTTTAGACAGGCTGGCTGATCCTGGTCTTTGTCAAACTGTGGGACATTCTGGTGTTTGAGTGTGAAGGTCAAGTGCTCTTTAGCTGGCAGCTGCTCAACAGCAGGAGTTTCAAAACTTGTGTCCCCTTTGGTACAAGTAACATCCAAATGCTGTTTGACTTCTCTGAAGTCTAAGGAGCAAGTCCTTGAATGCTGAAACATGAATCTATGGTGCTCTCTTTCCCACTCCTTTTCACGAAGGACCTGAAGTTCCTCCCTCTGTATCTCCTCCTCTTCTGCCTGTTTTTTAGAAAGCTCAATAGCTTTCAGAGTTTGCTGCTGATCATATTCATCCTGAAGCTGCATCAGGTTCTCTTGCAATGTATGGACCTCATCTATCCTATTAGCTGCCTTTGCTTGCTTAATAAAGGATGTAATATTGTCAATCTGCTGAAGAAGTGGGTCTGCTCTCTCGCTCTCTCTTGAAATGCTAGATGTGGGTAACCAGCCTTCAGATTTTCTAACTGTTCCTTTTTTTACGTAAGTTTCATCACCATTAACTGCAGATGCAGATATGGAGATAAACTCCTCCTTTTCCTCTTGTTTCCCCTGTGTTTCAAGAGCAACCTAAACCAAAAAAACATGTAGTAAGAAAACACCATGAGCTTGAAAAAATTCATTCTAAGTATCCATAGGTACAAGTTAGCTGATCTTAAGACATTGCTGGCTGAAGATAAAAGGGATCAGGTACCATTTTGGTTACTTTGCAGGAGATTCTTCCTTTCATACCATTCCTTGAATGCTTCCCATGAGTTTGTGATGATACTGATGAAAAACCCATGACATCTGCCTCTACAAACCTGAGGCAAAGTAGGAGCAGCAATTCTCTTTATAGAGGAAAAAAAAAAATGCAGCTGTGCAAGGGGTGGTCTAGATTGATTTAGACATTAATTGTATTACATATGACTACAGCAGACACCTGTAATAGAACATATAGTGTTTAAGGTCACTGATTTCACTGGCTTTTAGAGTGGAATGATTCTTATTTCTCAACTTATACCTCAAGATAAAGTTAGCTTTAGTTTATAACTAATGATGTCCTCCCTCCTAAAGGAAAAAGAGCCTCTCTCCCTGCAGAGGCATCCTTATCCTTGTATGTCCTTTCCTACCAACAGAACAAGTTTCCAAATTCTACTTAAGTGAATGAATTCCTGAACCCAATTCCAAAGTCAGTGTAAACTAACACACTCACTTCAGGGCTTGCTCTGCACGCACAGTAGCAGAAACAGCCCATGCACCCATGTCCCTGCTGCTCTCTAGTAGCATCCAGCTCTGTGCCCACCTACTTCTGTTCTGGAAAGAACAAATCAGCAGCTAGGCAAAACCTTGGAAAAGGGGATGAAACAATATGGATGAAAAAATAACAAACTGAAATCCAGTGTTGAACACAACTACTCATATCCACAGAGCTCCCAGGATTATATCTATGAGAAGGTCTGGTACAAGACATAATAGATCCCAGCTGGTCTTACCATATGCAGTCTTTTCTTCTTCAGTTCTTCATACTGATCCTTGGTTGGCAGGGACATTAGGCCAAGCAGTTTTTCCTGGCAAAAATTGAAATATTTACAGTGTTGCTTGAAGGTATTCAGCCCATTTTTCAAGTCCTTGAGAAGAGAGATACTACCAGCAGAAACCATACAAACGTATCAAAAATGCTTCTGTACTGCAGTTCCTGCTGCAGGTCTGCCACAGCTACACTGCTGGGTGGGCTCACACCTCAGCAAGAGGAAGAGTCAAGGCTTACACACCTCTTGCGTTCCCCAGGCCCAATGCTACTCTGAGTACAAGATTTGTGTTCAAGACAGCTTATTTAAGGCTACCGTAAGTTGTTAGGGGAACTACAGAAAATGTAGAAAACGTAAAGAACTAAGTCTCCTGTCAAAAGAGTTTCAAACCACAGGGATGCCTGACAAAGAAAACGCTATCTTAAATGTACATTCATCTCACATCATATGCTCTATTTACCTGAACAAAAAGTGTAGCTGAGTATCTTATCATCCGCTGAAGTTGAAGTATTTTAGGATGAGGTTGAGGATCTTCATGCAAGCCTAGACTCAAAATCT